GAGGCTTCACATGGAAAAATCCAATTTCCGGCTTCTTTTGAACTAGCCCAAGACTGACAACACAGGGGCTGCCCTGGCCATGACTCGCCGGACCTGAGTAGCTGAGTAGCAGCTGCTTCTTTGGATAAGACATGGGTGTGTGTGTGCGTGTCCGTTTCCCCACAGTCGCCTCCATTCCCTATTGCCTCACACCCCACCTGCTTTTCTCGTTAGTTGGCATTTGGTCAGGGTTCCTCGCTGGTCTGACTGAGCAGCAGGCACAGAGCCAAGAAGGCGGCCTTGCGTCCTGGAACCCCTAACCCCTAGGACGGGGCAGGGCATAGAGTTAGAGTGCTGCCCATCATTGGCTCATTCGTTCGTTCATTCAACAACTAGTATTTATTGAGTTTATACTATGTGCCAGAAACTATTTTTTTAATAAAGTAGTTTTATTTCTATTTATTGATTGATTTTAGAGAGAGAAGAAGGGAGAGAGAGAGAGAAACATGGATTTGTTATTCCACTTATCTATGCATCATTGGTTGATTCTTGTATGTGTCCTGACGGGGATCGAACCTGCAACCTCGGTTTCTTGGGATGATGCTCCAGCCAACTGAGCTACCTGGCCAGGGCTGGATGTGTTAAATTTAACCTGCCTATTAGAGCTCTCACCTAGGACAGGGGTCAGCATGGTGAAAACCCCGTAACGTGCCATATAGTCAGTATTTGGGGCTTTGTGGCGAGTAGTCTCTGTCACAACCACCCCTGAAAACAACCAGAGACAATACATGAGTGAATGGCCCCGTGGCTGTGTTCCCATCAGACCTCACTTGCGGACACTGACATCTGAATTTCATATCATTCATGTGCCATGAAATAGTCTCTTTTCATCTTTTTCAGTCACTTAAAAAACATAAAACCTGTTCTTCGCTGGGTTTGGCCCATGGGCCACAGTTTGCGGAGCCCTGATCTATGCTGTCGGCAATATGATATGAGGCCCGAGCTCAGGGGACACTCTGGGCTGGAGACACAAAGTGAGGGTCATGGCATATGAATGGGCGAGGTCACCTAGAGAATGAGAAGAGACAGAAACCAAAAAGTTAGTTGAAGGGTTGCCACCTGAGCTAGTCCACTCTTAAGAGGCAACCAGAGCCCTGGCCAGTGCGGCTCAGTTGGTTGAGTCCTGTGCACCCAGATGTCACCAGTTGGATTCCCGTCAGGGCACATGCCGGGGTTTGGGGCTCGACCCACACTAGGGGGCGTGCAGGAGGCAGCGGATCAATGACTCACCATTGCTCTTTCTCTCTCCCTCTCCTTTCCTCTCTCTGAAATCAATAAAAATATATTTTAAAAAACACAAGTAAACAGAAACAGGTCCAACGAATATCGTTTATACAATAGAAAGCACTCACATGAAGGCTAACAACATATTTTATTTAACCAGGCAGAGCCAACATTTCATTTTAACATGGAATCAATGTAAAAAATTAATGAAACCTTATGCATTTTTTTCCCATATGAAGTCTGAAATCAGTGAGTATTTTACCCTCACAGCTCATCTCCATTGCCATGTTTCAAGTGCCCAAGAGTCACCCAGTGCTGGCGGCATCTGTGTGGGCCTAGTCCCTCCCCGGGCATCGCAGCTACAGTCCTGGGTCCTCTGTTAAGACAGTGCCCTGGGCCCACAGACCATTTGTTTGAGTCGCCTCCACAAAGCCCCTGTGCTCAGCACTCTGCAGGCCTCCCGGCTGAGCCAGGGGAAGGTGTTATCAGTTGTGTTTGTCAGCGCAGGAAGCTGGTGGCCAGAAAGGGGAAGTGAGTCAGCCGCACGGCCACCCCACACGCGAGGGGCAGAGCCAGCTGGGACCCACTTCTCCACTGTCCTCACCTCGCCTGCTCCCCCTTCACCCCAACTTAGGCAGGTCCTGGGGGAGACTTGGGGACACATCACCCCATCACTGCGCATGGAAAGCCCCCAGCCCAGTCGGGTCATATGACACACACATAGCCCCATACCCCATGTGTCCTGCGCTGGACTGGGTGTTCCATTGAATTCTTATCGAACCACATCATCATCACTTCATAAATATGTCTATATATTTTTTCAATATGTTTTTATTGATTTCAGAGAGAGGAAGGGAGAGAGAAAGATAGAAAGAGCAAAGGTGAGAGAGTCACTGACCAGCTGCCTCCTGCACACTCCCTGCTGGGGATCGAGCCCGGGCACGTACCCTGATCAGGAACCGAACCCTGACCTCATGGCTCATAGGTTCACGTTCAACCACTGAGCCACACCGGCCGGCTCGTCATCAATTTTCAAATGAGGAAACTGAGGCTCTGGAGCATTCAAGTCCCAAAGCCACAAAGCTGGAAAGTGACGTCCCTGGCATGTGCGTCCACAGCCTGTGCTCCTAGCCACCAAAGCTGCCAAAGCCACCAAAGCCACTGCGCTCCCCTGCCCTCAATATGCTGGCCTCTGAAGCCCAGCTGCTCCAGCATCTCCCCCTTGACTTACCACCCATGTGGGACTTGGCAGCTTCTTCCACTCCATGCCTCAGTTTCCTCATCTGTAGAGCAAGGGGCTGCCATCGCCTCGCTCCCCTGGGGTTCATCGTAAGCACTGAGTGTGTCACTACCTCTCCGTGGCTTGGAGCAGAGCCTGCTGTGCCTGCTGTGTGGTTAGCCCTCAGGAAGTGCTAGCTGTCATGCCTCTGTCACCACTGTTCTGCTCAGAGGGTCCCTGTGCCCTGTGCCCTCCATGCTCAATCTCATTTAATTGTCATTAATGTCATGAGAGAGGCACTGTGGTCCCACTCAGGAAAGGAGAGGACTTGAACCCCTAATCTTACCTACCCCTCTGCAACGGAGGTGCTGACGGGTGAGACTTTCCTCCTAAAAGTGTATATTCATTCATTTAGTCAATCATTTAAAAAAATTGTAAAATGCACATAACATAAAATTGATCATTTTAACCTTTTTTTTAAAAAAAAAAAATTAATTCTCACCCAAGGATATTTTTTCCATTGACTTTTTAGAGAGAGTGGAGGGGGTGGAGAGAGAGAGACATCGATGTGAGAGAGACACATCAATTCGTTCCCGGACTGGGGCTGGGGATCGAACCTGCAACCCAGGCACATGCCTTTGGGAATTGAACTCATGACCCTTTGGTGCACGGGTTGACGCTCCAACCACTGAGCCACACTGGCCAGGGCCATTTGAACCATTTTTCAGTGCTCAGCTTAGTGGTGCTGAGCACATTCACGGTGCTGTGCAGCCATCACCGTCACCCATCTTGTAAAACTGAAACTCTGTCCCCATGGAACGATAACTCCCCGTTTCCTCTCCCCCAGCCCGTCTCTCTGAATTTGCCTCCTCTGGGTAACTCATAGAAGCAGAACCATACAGTATTTGTCTTTCTGCGCTGGGCATATTTTACTTAGCATAATATCCTCAAGGCCCCTTCACGTTGTAGCCTATGTCAGGATTTCCCTCCTTTTTTACAGCTGAGTAATATTCCATCGAATGTATACGCTGCGTGTTATCCACTCACCCACTGATGGACACTTGAGTCGCTTTTGGCTATTGTGAATAATGCTGCTATGAAAACGGGTGTATTTCTTAGAGACCCTGCTTTCAATTATTTTGAGTATATGCCCCAAAGTAGAGGTGCTAGATCATATAGTAATTCTGTTTTTAATTTTTCTGAGGAAACCCCATGCTGTTTTCCTTAGCAACTCCATTTTACATGCCCCCAACAGTGCATAAGGGTCCCATATACTTGCCAACTCTTGTTACTTTCTGTTTGTTTTTTCTTTTATTTTTATCGTGGCCATCCTAATGGCTAGGAGGTGGTATCTCATAGTGTTTTTTAAAAAAATATGTTTTTAGAGAGAGAGCGGAAGGGAGAGGGAGAAACAGAAACGTTGATGAGACAGAGACATCGATCGGGGATGGTGCCCGAAGCCTGGGCTTGTGCCCTGACTGGGAACCGAACCTGTGATCTCTTGGTGATGAGAACGATGCTCCAACCACTGAGCAACACCGGCCCGGCACGTGGTGGTCTCGATCTGCATTTCCCTAATGATTAGTGATGTTGCGTACATTTTCACGTGCTTTTTGGCCCATTCAATCGTCCTTCCATAAGAACATTAATCGGGCCCTTGCTGTGTGCTAGGCATCGCTCTAGGTGCTGGGGGTACAGTGTTGAACAGCCCACGTGCTTACACCCAAGCAGGCAAACTGCTGTATCTGCCTCCACCACCATCCGCTGAGAACGGAGAGGCCCTTCCTGTGCCTCTGTTTCCTCATCGCGACAGTGGAGATGTCGACTGATGGTGACCGAGCACTTAACTGTGACCCAGGCAGAGCTAAACCTCTGCCTGAGTTCACCCCTCACAACAACCCTGCGAGGGGCAGGTCTTATCATTCCCTTTTTATAGGTGAAGGAACTGAAGCCATTTGACCTAATAACGCCAACAGGGTCACAGAACAAGGGCGTGATGGAGTGGGGCTTCATTGTCAAGCAGTGGGACTCTGATTCCCGGTGTCTGGCCACTGCAGGACACCAATAATGTTATCTATTTCATGGGACTCTGGGGAGCTCCGGATGAGCTCATCCACCACTTAACAATGTTAGCTCTTAGCAGAATTACTCACTGCCTTATACCCCTTCCCAGTCCTTGTCTTTACTGCCATTCCTTTCCCTGTCATCTGCCTTGAATATCCTTCTATCATCCATCCATCCATTCATTCGATCGTTCGTTCGTTCGTCCATCCATCCATCCATCCATCCATCCATCCATCCATCCATCCATCCGACACCCATTTCTTGAGCCAGGCAAAGCTAGGGACACACAGACGATTCAGACGCCATGCACCCCACCCCCGCCTTGCAGAAACTCTCAGCTTGCTCCCTCCTCAATCAACCCGTTGCATGCCCCAAGGGGGTAGCACAGGGAGCCGCTGCACCCCAGACGGGGAACCGGGCTGAACTTGAGGGGGAGGAGTGAATGCCTGTGCGTATGCGCGGGCCCGGGCCCCGCTTCCTCCAGGAGGCGCCCGTGAGCTGCCCCTTGCAGGGTAAGTTTTCACCAGTGAAGAGTCTGAGCGGACTGTCTCACAGCCTGGAGTGTGGAAGGAGCCCGGAGAATCGAGGGAACGAAATGTGTTTATATTTACGCGTATTTATATAGCAGCCTCCAGCTGTGTGTTAGAACAGGCACTGTCCTCGAGTAGGAGATGAGAGCTTCCTAAAGGTGCGCGGTCCAGGATCTGAGGGNAGGCACTGTCCTCGAGTAGGAGATGAGAGCTTCCTAAAGGTGCAAGGTCCAGGATCTGAGGATAGGGTTCTGGGGCGGACCAAGGGGGTGAGGCTGAATGACCCTTAGAGGCACCCCCAGCCCCCCCCATGCCTCTGTTTGCTCCCATCACCCCCTCGCCTTCCCGGGGGCTCCAGGTGAGACCCTGGGAATCCCTCTCCTTATACGCAGGACCCAAGAGACTACAACTCTCATGAGCCACCGGGGCTGCTCTCCCCACGATGGGACTCAAGGCTTCACAGGGCCTCATGGGAAATGTAGTCTTCCTCGCCCTCGGCCGCCTCCTTGGCTTTCCCACGCATTTTCAGACGCGGGCTCAGGCTTAGAAGGGCGCCTTGACATTGCTGAAGTCAACGCCTTCTCGTAGCGGGGGAAGCAGGAGGCCAGAGAGGAAGAGATCCTTGTGGCTTTTTAGTGAGTTTTGGATTCCCCCCCCCCACCCCAGTTTTTAAAAAATTTGTTTTTATTGATTTTTTTAGAGAGAGGAAGGAGGGGGTTGAGAGAGAGAATCATAGATGATGAGAGAAAAACACGCCCCCTATGGGGATCCGGGCCGCAACCCTGGGCATGTGCCCTGACTGCGAATCCGATGGGGGACCTCTCGGTGCCCCGGGGGACGCTCAGCCAACTGAGCCACACAGGCCAGGGATTTATTTTTTTAAAAACTGGTGAGGAAACTGAGGTCAGAGAGGTTGACAGTTTGTCCCAGATGTTGAGAAAGGGTCAGGAGCCAGGACTTTTTTGTCTTCCAACTGAGAGGGGGGGCGGTCGGGGGAAGGGGGGTGTCTTCTCTCACAGGTGGTTCCCCCAACTCTTAAGTCGCCCCCATCCCTCTCCAGGGCTGAAAAGAGGCGTCTGCGTGAAGATCAACCATTTTCCGGAGGACACTGACTACGACCATGACAGCGCGGAGTATCTGCTCCGTACGTTGGGGTCAGGGACACAGTCGGGGGACTGCGGGGAAGGAGGGTGGCGGGGGGGGCGGGGACTGGCAGTCAGGTGGACACGCAGAGATGAGCGTGCCAGCTAATCCAAGTCCAGACACTGAGATCCTCTGGTCCCGGATTGGCCCAGAGGTCCCTCTCCCGCCCCCTCCTCTCACCTCGGGGCGGGCTGAGGAGGGATCCCGGGAGCTGATTGGCCGCCGCACTGTGGCTCTCTGGGCTGGGATTGGCCGCTGCGCCCTGGGCTGTCATCTGGCCACTCTCGGGAGCGGGCTGGGGAAGCCTGTGATGCGATTGGCAGCTACTCCGAGAACGCGGCAAATCCTGAATTATGATTGGCTGTGGCCTCCGCCGAGCTCAGAAATCGCAAAATCTCTTTGCCTAGGGTTTGGGGGGTGGGTGGAAAGGACTGCAGAGAGAGGGGGAGAGAGAAAGGAGAGAACCCCAGAGCTATAAGTGAAGCCAGACAGAAAGGGGGTGGGGTGGAGAGAGGAGGGAGGGAGAGAGAAAAGAGACACCCAGAGAGAGAGGCAGCCAGGCAGGAAGGAGAGGAGGAGGGGGAGACATAGTAACAGGTCTGATAGAGGGGTCGGGAGGAAAGGAAGGAAATGCAGAGGGGGAGAGACCATGAGATGGGGAAAGAGAAAGGGAGGGGGCCCCAGAAAAAGAGAGAAGTTCAGAGAAAGAGAGGGGGTGATTTAGAGGGAAAAAAGGGGGGGCAGGAGAGAGAAAAAAAGACCTAGGAAGAAAGAAAAAGGGGACAGAAAAAGGAAATCAGACGGAGAAATAGAGGAGTGTTAAAAAGAATGAATGAAACAGCCGGAAGGCAGGCAGAGAGGGAAACTGCAGAACTAGGGGGAACCCTGGCGGCGAGAGGAGGCCCGAGGCGCAGCCCTGGGGGGCGGGGGGCAGGCAGGTCTGACCGCCCTGGCGCCCACCCCTTCCCTCTGTCTCCCCCTGCTCTCCTTTCTCCCTCGCAGGAGTAGTCCGGGCCTCCAGCATCTTCCCCATCCTCAGCGCCATCCTGCTGCTGCTGGGGGGCGTGTGCGTGGCGGCCTCCCGGGTCTACAAGTCCAAGAGGAACATCATTCTGGGCGCAGGAATCCTGTTCGTGGCAGCAGGTGAGAGGCAGAGGGAGGGGGCGGCCGTCGGGGCAGCCCACCCACGCCGCCGTGTGTGTGTGTGTGTGTGTGTGTGTGTGTGTAAAGCCACCGTGCCCCGGGCGCCCCCTGGGGCCGGGAGCCCGCCTAGGCTCTTCCCCAGCTCCACCGCCACCCGCTGGGCAAGGCGGGTGTCGCTTTCGCGCTGTTTCCGGGGGAGTGAACCCAGCACAGACAGGTGTCTAGCGCGTAATCTGGGATGCGGGGAGTTTAGGTTCCAAAGCCCGCGCTTCTGTTGACGCAAGAGGAGCAGCTTGGGCTTTCAGACATCACTGGGGTCTTGAAGACCGAGGGGCGGGCTGGACAGTGGAAGACCAGCCCTCAGAGGGAGAAAGTGATCTGGACGCAGACGGGGAGGAGCCTACTTTAGTGGGTAGGGCCTTGTGGCTCTTGGCGGATCCTTTAGGAAGGAGCTGCTCCTGGGAAACCCTCCAGACCAGCTCTGAGTGAGGCAGCTCATTAAGGAGTAAGACGCCCTTTCTACCCGAAATGAGTAGTGCTGCGAAGTTCGG